TCTGGGTGATTTGAGAAAATGCGACTAGCCAATCAGCGCAAAGCTGACAAGCTTATGTTGTAAACATAACCCTCCGACGGGAGGAATTTGCTCAGCAAAACTCGACCCAGTGGAGTAGGCTGCCTTTCATTTTATTCTATCCGAAAAATCGAAGCTAAAACGCAAAGAGAAAGTGAAAATCTTTATAAAATAGCTTTTAAATGTCAATCAAATATTTATCGTTATAGAAATAGAATTTTATCTTAAAAATGAAATAGCAAATAATTTTTTCTTTAAGACCACGACACTCCCCTCCCTGATAAAAATAATTGTTCTGTTTTCTTCGCGGGTTCTCCATTGCATGCGAAGCAATGGCCGACTTCAAGAAGACTTCAGAAGGTCGTTGAAGCGACGTTCAAGTCCAAAGTATCTTTGGAGGAGACATTGCAAATCCTTCTTCTTAGCTCTTGTTTCCTCTAAGCTTTGAGGTATCTACAACATTACCTGGAAGAGCTAGAGCAGCTTATCTCCATAGCGTTTAATATTTTTGGTACAAATCAACTGTCGTAGTTCATCCTTTGTCGCATTTTCGGCAATAAGCCGCAAGCGTGCTCGACAGGTCAGTTACACATTTACTAGCTTTGAACTTACTATACAACGAGAGCTAGAACGGTGACTGGGGTTTTTAGTGTAACGTCTTGATAGCGACTGTTTATGTCGAAACGACTCAAAACAAAATTCCATCGTGAAAAAAGTTCCCTTCTGAAAAACACGTGTGTATTTAAGGTGGAGAATGTTTCATATGAGCATTCCGATACTTAAAGGTTTATTTCTATAATCATTTTGTTTAGTTATGTAAATAAATTCAGCACGACTTGTACTGTTTGTCTGAATGAAAGGCGAGCTGCGGGTTTTCCCTTCTCTTTATTTACACTTTCAAATATGACCGCTTAACAAAAATGCACGGGCTCACTGGCTTACAACCTTGGCGAATTCATATGCAGGCCTGGTCGCAAATCAATCACCCAGTTCCTATTAGAAAAACCCGGAAGGTGGGCGAATGGGGCATGCAGAAACATTTTTCATTACGATGCTTCAATATATCTTCTTTTTTAGAGAGCATATTGTCTGGATTTATTTCATAGATCTAACATAGATATTTTTTGGGTTTGGTGAGGGAACCGATCACTTGGAGGACGTTTTCAGTCTAATTTCGTTATTTTGATAAATGTCACCTGCTTATATTTAATTTTTTTATGATTGCCAATCCCATATAAAGAACACACTGACATTATTTGCGACAAATAATGACTTACGCTTAAAAAAGAGTAGCTGGAATCGTTTTTCATCAGGACATGTTCTATCATAGACTAGATATTTGCCATCTCCAGGATGGCCTCCGAAAGTATGAACACATAGGCCRCTCTTTACATGTTGAAGACCTTGGCTTGGAAGTCTGGAATAATCAAAGTTTTAAAATGACAACGCTCTCAAAGCGAAAATGACGTTAAATGTGATAAAACGCTAGTGAATAAAACATCTGTTAAGCATTGGTACCACCAAACATTGCTACGGTAAAGTCCTGTGTCAAACGTCGAACTTTGTTTTGCTCCCTAAATTCAATTTTTTTTTCAATTGTTCATGCGTCATTGGAATATTCTCTTAAAATTTACAATTTCTATGTTAATTTCAAATAAAGAAAGGCATCTGGTTACTTTATCGTTATAGTTTAACTGGCGAATGGAGATTGTTTGTACCAAATTAAAACTACTAATTTCTTTCTGATAGTTTAACCAGGCATTGTTCACAGTGCATGCAATCTCTCATGGCTATCTACAGTAATTTCACACATCGTTCGGTAGATTACTTCACTATTTTGGACAGTACCGGAGAAGTAAAATCATACAAAGATGTGCAAAAGATGCCGTACGATGCCGTACGATGCCGTACGATGTACGTACCTCTTGTGCCTGGCAACGTCATCGGGGCATTTGTCCTTTAAGACAAGTCTGGTATTCCAGGGGTCAGTTCCATCTCCTAAATTGAAATTTGGAAATACATAACTTTTTTATTCACGAATTTCCATACTCAGGTTCAGTGACCACGAACAAAGCATTGAACCGAGGCGTCAAGAAACACAGTAAACACCTGAAATAAGAACCATATTTTTGGAAAGTCTGACAAAAAAGGTTCTTGTTTTAAGGGGTAGTTGCTAGTAATTTTGGCAAAGCAGTTTCTTAATTAGGTTCTTAATTTCTAATAGGGTGATACAGTTGTTAGTGATTTAGCATATATATCATAAGAATAATACATAAGCTTAATATGGGCTAATAAAATTATATGTAATACTATAATGTTATTGCAACTTTCAACTACTGTGACAAGTAAATAATGAACTTAACAACTGTAAATAAATTCAGTAATCTATAGCAATTGAGTAAGTTATGGTTTGTTTATCCTGTAATTTAGCTCTAACCCATATTATAAGAACCTGCTTGAAAATATTTGGCTAAAGAGATTCTTATTTTTCAGAACATTTTCTCACATACACCTGATTAAAATTTTCTTTTTTTCTTCATTGTCTTGTTATAAACTTTTACATTTTGTAATCTAAATTAGTATTTATAGCGGGCATCGCCCTGAATAGTCTTAACTAATTGCGATGCCCGCTAACTACTCATGTGTAAATTATTATTATTTATTGAATTAAACTTTGAAACTTTGAACTTTGAAACTTTATTTAAGGGGTTATTAGAATGGCAAATTTCTGCCAAGAGGTTCTTAATCCATGAGGTTCTTATTTCAGGTGTTTACTGTACTAATCACAGATTAGTACAGTAAATTCTTTTATGTTCACTGTACCTTGACGCATCGGTTCAATGCTTTGTTCATGGTAACTGAACCTGAGTATGGAAAGTCGTGAATTGAAATCATCTCATTGAAAAACACCTACTTGCAGAAACGTTGTCATAGAAAAAAGAACATTTAGTGAATTTACCAAAAAAGGATAAAATAAAACAAGACAAAAGAAAGCGTTCAGCCTCAGTGATCTTCTTTTGTCTTTTTTAATTTATTCCTTTTTACTAAATACAAATGTCCTATTTTCTATGACAACGTTTTCGCAAGTATGTGAGAGAGTACATCACAAAAGGAGTCTTGTGACAGGCGGGAAAAGCCTGCCAAAAGAGGCAATTCATTGGTTGGTTTGCATCAAAAGGTTCTTAATTCTTTAACCCCCTTTTGTGCTGTCCATTCTCATCATTGTCCTGACTGCAAGGAAGGTAACCAGTCAATATGGTCTTTTTTGATCAGTAATTTCGGCTTTTATTACCAAGAAAAAAGGAAACGACGCGCGTTGTGTTCGTGTCTATTGTCCAGGTGCATGACGGTCAATGGGCGTCACTGTGCATCTGCCTAGCATCGTGAGATTTGCGTCTTGCGTGCTGTGTATTGGCTAGGGTCATGTCAAGATGAGAGAGTAAATCGATCACAAAAGGGGTCTTGTGACTTTAACCCCCTTCTGTGCTGTCCATTCTCATGTGTATATCCTATTTATATGCAATTAGCTTAGCAAGACATTAAAAACTTTTTTTGATATTTGCTAATGTGTATGCTTCCTAATATTTATAAGTAAGTCAATCCCATTAACGTCGTCCACTTGTAAGGACATAAAGACAGCAACAACGAAAAAAGTTTTTTGGACTTTGTCAGGTGTGCTTATGTTTTTACAACTCAACAACGTTAACGAGATTGACTGTATAATCGTTCAACATTTCTAGGAGTTCAAGATCAAAAATACATTTTTCTTTCTTCTTTTCTTTTTTTGGCTCACCATTTCCGACGCAAACAATTTTCCCACTACATTTATGATACAGTTTACCAAGGTCATCGAGCATAAATGCCATGTAGTCCGTCGAGCAATCCTTGTAGTGTTTCCACACAAGACCATGACTCCATGTAGTTTTGTTTTCAATTGGGTTACAGTCGCCACTTTGTGGTTGTAGACAGAGATAAGTTCCATCATCTTTACGATTATAGAGATAGGCTGCTCTTATAGGGCTTTCTATCAAACAAGTGGTCATATCAATTTACGTTTGACCCAAAAAATGTCAATGAGGCAATGGGTCGTGGCGATTAAAGGGACTTATTTAGATTAAGCAGTAGAGAACGATAATTCTAACATACTGCATGGGCGGTGGAGAATTATCGACAAAAAGGTGAGAAAACTTGCGAGGAGTGATACCAAATATTTATTCTGCGTAATAGGTTGAAAGTTGATGATGAGCAAAATTTACAAGTTATCTACAGAATGTACATAAAATTTACAAACTTTTTAAAAGGACATTTTCCTTGAAATTGAATTTACAGTATAAAACAAGCAAAAGAGCAATAAGGGTCTGTGCAATAAAACCAGATTTCTTGAGCAGAAAATTAGTTTAAACCCCCCCTTCTGAAGCACAAGAAAATAGCTCTTACCCCCACTCTGCTATCCTAGAAATAACGTNACCTTAGTTATAAAACAAGGACAAGCGAGTCCAGTGAACTGTAGCAACCCGAAATTCACTAAAGACGAACCCAGATGCAAGTGGTGGCTTACTCATTTAGATCTTAGTGTAAAGACACTGACAAGCAAATGTGGTGCCCTTGCTTCTTTCAAATGATTTTGTTCCTGGCAAAAATTTTCAAGGTCCAAAAAAAGCTTATGTAACATTTTTATGGTCAAAAACGACTTTGATATTACTTGTGTTTGTTATGTCTAATAAATCATCACTATGTTTTTCAGCTTCTACATCTTCATGTGACAAAATTGAAAAAAATTCAATATTTAAAAAAACAAATTCATATCTTAAATTTCAATCGCACATCAACGAGTCTTTGAATTTAGATTTCCATTAGTCAGGCGCGTAGCGTGGACTTTTTATGCACATGCACTGGAAAAAATCGCGCGGATTAAAGGTTGTAAATTTGATGTAAATATGATGTAAGTGTCCAAAATTCACACTTACATCATATTTACATCAACTTTTACAACCTTTAAAGCGCGCGATTTTTTCCAGTGATGTCAGGGACCGCGACATATATTTTGGATTTGGGGGTCTAAGAACGCCAAAGGCGGGAGTATTAAGGGAGTCTGGTCCTCCCCCAGAAAAGTTTGAAAAAAAAATTCAAAATTTGAAAGAAGTAACACTTATGGAAATGCGATTTCCAGCATTTTGAGAGACATCGAAAACTGTGAAAATCTTGGATGAAACTTAAGGCCCCCCCTCTGTTAATTAGGTAATCTTAAATTGAGCCCCCCCTATCTTGCCATCAATTTTATGTAATGCCCCCCTCTGGTTTTACAGCCCCCCTCCTGATAATTATTGCACAGTCCCTAAAACAGTTTCAGTTTCTGTTACATATTRTTTTTAATTATTTTTTTAAAAAAACCTTGAAACTAATCACGTTTTCCAGAGGAAAAAAAATCAACTAACTGGTAAGCTGTGGTAGTGGCAAGTCGGAAAATAGAAAATGAATTTCATAATATAGAAGTTACTATATTAACCAAAGTAGAGAATATATTAATAATAAACAATGATTACTCGAAAAGCACAGGGAGACCATTTAGAGCAAGTAAGTAGAATATATTAATATGATTAAATGAATAACTGCTGACAAAAACATCGCAGGCTCAAGTTTACAGGAAAGTGATCGAGCGAGCGAGCGAGTGACAGCTTGTCCCCTCCCAATAACTCTACGATTGCTAACGCAATCTCCGAGTTAAAAATGGAGTTACAAAATGATGACAACGCAAAGGAAAATGTATTAATTTCATATTTCATTTATCATTTTGAAAACCATTTTAATAACCATGCATTTTAAAATACTTTTATTTTACAAAGCTAAAGCTAACTTACCGACCACGAAAAAGTGAAACATTAATCGTTTATGGAKACGACAATCATCAGCATAGGTTAGCAATACATTGTCAYGTGGCGTTCCACCCTYAGGATGCACGCAGAATTCGTTTTTCGTATTTTGAAGAAGGTGGCTGGAAAGTCTAAAATACATGTATAAAGTTAATTTTTCWCCTGCGGACGTTTTTTATAGCTGTTGCACAGCAAGTTAATTGAAATTCTTGTACAAAAAAGGGTATCATGTTAATACTTTGTAAYGGCTAAAGTGGTACTCTCTCCAGTCGGTTCCTTGAAGAAGGGGAAATTTATTAAGGCATTGCCGTCTATGAAAAATATGCAAAAGAAGAGAGGGTGCAACATCTATCTATCAAAACTGAACTTTTTAAAAAGAGGTGTAGATGAAGGGGCGGATCCAGAGCATTTTATAAGGGGGAGTGCTTTTGTTAGTAATATATAGGTAAAAACTATAGCAGATGGRACTGATCATTTTTGTTAGCTGCAAGAAAATTAAGCACAATTTGAACGGAAGCAAATTGACTTTCATTGCGATGTTTCTTTGACTACATTGCTCAAACAGATTGTTAAGCRGCATAAGGGCAGACACATGTTGTATAAAAACAGCAGAAAAAAAAACTTTTATACTGATACATAAAAAAATTACGTCGTCCAAAAAGGGTTCGTGCGCCCCCTCCCGATCCGCCCCTGAGATGGTTTTCAATTTGATACAATTAATCCCTATTTTCCTGCTCAAACATAGAGCTAATTCCATCCCCAAGGCGTACCTCTTGTGCTTTGCGATGTCTTCAGGACAGTTATCAGACAAGACCAGTCTTCGGGCAGCTTCAGGATATTGGACTCCTAAATAGAAAAGTATAATCATAGCTTTTGATTAAACATGGTTGACCTGACAGAAGCTTTTGGAATCATACTGCGAATATTATCGAGTACCGAAAAGAGACTTTCTGAAAGAATACCATCTTACAGCTTAAAATATATAAACACTATTTTTCCGCTCTTCAGGGCGTAGTGAGTGTATATATGTGTGCGTGGACGAGAGTGGGATACGGGGAAATTTAATCATTGTTAGTCGGAGAATCTTTCCCATAATGCCATTATCGCTAAATGCTAGAATGGCGGAAACATATGGATCAGGAGCTATCAATTACTGGATCCTCTACAGTCCCTGAAGATCCTAAACGTTTTATGATATAATGGATGGATCATAGCGTGTATAGATCAATAAACCACGGTTTCTTTATTTCTGAAATCATTAAATTCCTTAACATTTGATGCGACTCGCTAGCATTACAGTAAAGCCCGATCAATGAATTTCTTACCGTTCCAGTCTGGTTTTGAGCAAACAATCTTATTACTGCATTTATGATATATTTTTCCCTTGCCATCGATGAGAAATCTCCTGTATTCTGCTGAGCATTTTGCATCGGAAGCCGTTTTCATCACAATCTCATAGTTATCAGGCGGGTTACAATCACCACTTGTTGGTTGTAAGCACAAATCTCCATAGTGATCGTTCATTTTTATGTGGCTTTCTATAGAATACAAGTATATGAAATTATATATAAATAAACAGGGAACGGTACTTAAAATCAATCAAGTGATGGCATAAATGTGCGTTTCATTGCTATCAATAACAAAGCTGTCAATCTTCGGACTAATGTATTGATGGAATTTCTCTCTTCGATGGACGTCTCTGAGAGCTTCACTCTTTTCAACAATTTATTACAGTTATTTTCTTTTATGATAGAGAAAGGTTGGCTTGCACCAATTTTGTGTCAGAAAAAAAAATCATACTTTCTTTATCAAATGAACTTGTATGACAAATGCAAAGAAACCTACATTGGAAGACCGCTGCATGACAGGATCGAAGAGCACTTGAAATAAAGGCTAAGAATTGAACTTCAATCATGCTCTGTTGTATATTAAAACGGTATATTGCCTATTCATAACGTATCTCTTATGTCTTACTGTCATGTGACAAGTGCTACTATTCTCTAGTTGGGGCAGAGGAATACCAGCAGTCAAGACTGTTTGGTAACTGATTATTACATTTATGGTGAAATGCTACTAAACGGTATGACATTTATGGTGGTTTTCGATTGTTACATTTATGGTTGATTTTTATTACATTTATGGTGGGGTCGATTATTACTCGTGACCAGGCCCTAGGCCGGGTCACGAGTCAGAAAATGCAGCGCGTATAGTTTTTTTTTTCTATGTGAGACCTTTGTCTTCGGGCTGACCTTTGCGTCCCGAACGCATATCACATTACGAACTCGGCTGTACCTTTGCCCCCGATCGCACTCCGATCTCTAAACGAAATATCATATTACGAACTCGGCTGTAAACAAGCGTATCATAGAACAGCAAAACTGCTCGGGATTTACTGTAGCTTTTATACTAACGAGATATAAATCGATACATCGTAGATAAGTGAAGCCCGTGGATGTCTCATACAGCACGCAGTTTGAATTGAAGAAATATTCTTCAAAACTCGGAATTATCGACTGTTGAGGTCAGACTGCCGCTTATTACTCATCTGAGCATTTGGGATAGCGGAAAGTTTTCTGTTAAACTCCGAAGAGATCTCAAGTTATACGATCGACAGCTCTTCTACATACGAACCAGTACTCTAAACAATCGTATCATAGAACAGCAATAACTGCCCGGGATTTACTGTAGTTTTTTAGTAATTCTTTGATATTCGAGGCCTTTTGTTATTCCAAAACATTCANGATCGCTCACGCAATTTCCAAATATGGGAATCATGACCTTGTCACAGTTGCATAGCCTATATTTTCTAATTTGATGAGGGATTCTGTCTCTTCTRGTTAAAGAAAACAATGCTATTCACAGATGAGAATTCCTAGATGAAGATCGTTTAAGCGATCATGCATGGTTATAGAGCGGGCCCTTCCTGTTTGCGAAGATCGCTTGCCACACGGCGCCGAGCTGTCTGATTTTGATACTGTAGTATATTTGACCTTTTAAAAAATTAAAAATTACTACAATATTCTTACTATGTTTCACGCGAAAGACTATCAGAGTGAACGATTTGATTCTACGCTTTTAAAGATTTGTCAAAAATTATTGTATATCTAGTTCCTTCAAAAGCTGCTAAATATTACATGAAAAGTAAATCAACAAGGAGTTACTTTCACAAATGTTTTCTCTTAATATAGTTTGATTTCAAATCACTTTGTGATTTATCAGTATARATGAACTKCATGCCTTTGGTAGCACTATTCTTTACATCTAAACCAGACCCTCCTTAGAGCGTCAACTCGGTCGAACTATTTTTGAAAATTGAGAAAGACAGTATATCACATGGTTGGTCAAACACAAGAAAAGTTTTAAATGAGCTCATTTTGAAAAAAGTACTGAATAAGACAGCACTTTTCAACACCTTTAGGGCACGAGTACACCCTGCTGTCAGGGTCTAGTTGGCATTTATGGTTGATCGTTATTACATTTATGGCTGACTGTTGTTACATTTATGGTGGGTATTACATTTATGGTTGATTATTGCATTTATGGGTGATACACCCCCCTCCTGATAAATATTGGGCAGTCCCTTATATACAACGCTAGTGTTGTATCAGATTATCAGATTTACAAGGCCAGTCACCTGCTGATTAAATGCAGTAAATGGACAACCCTGTAAGGTCCTGTAATAGTTCATGCATAATTGATAAGTTTTATAAGCTAATTTTGCGAGTTGTACTTTTGTATTATATATTTTCGTGACTTGATGATGATGCCAGCGTCCGGCGAAAGCTTATTTGACTTTCGACAGTAGTATACGGCCATCAGCTCTCATTTTAACTCATAAAGACAACTTCCTAATCCTTTCTGGACTACTGAAATCAAGTGTTCAGAAACCTCTAGCTATATATACTATACCTGGTGCACAAAAGTAACATTCCTTCTCTTCCTGTGTTATTATGGTGGCATTGCATGGATTGCAGACCGCTTTAGAGTTGCAGGTCCTTTCACGTCGCTTTTTACCATCGTCGCAAAGTTTATCACATCTTGACCATTCACTCCATTCAGTCAAGCCCTCCAGTACTATTATTAGCAATCCAAGTTACACTATTCATTTCATAGATTGATTTTTTTAAACAAGATTATGGCAGAGCCATATAATAAACACTGTTTGCATCCATTAGAATAGCACAAATCCAACCATGTTTTATGGTTTACTATACGGAGTGTCTAAACGTCAGGCAATCGAATTTTTTTTAAATCGTCGTGACAACTGTAATTTCAATTCAAATACAACAAGGGAAATGCAATAAAGACCGAAATAATACTGTTGTATTCTCGGTTTGCACATGACGTCATCAGTCAAAAAAATAATTCTAAAATCACAGACACACAACATTGCAGCACTAAAATACCTTGAAGAGCATGAAAGAAGTTTTTTTTGCTGTTTATTAGTTGAGTTATTAACGATCAAAAATATGTCACGCAATACTATCACGCGACTTGAAACGCGACATATAAACCTCAGAAAGCCTATTAAGTTTAAAACAAGTATAGTCTAAGCATTAAATTAAATGTTTAAAATGTTTTGTTGTAAACCTAAAGCAAAATCATTAGTTTTGACCTCAATTCTACGCTCGGAGTTACTGTCCGCCATGTTCGTGGGCAGGTTAGTACACGACTATGGTTTTCTATACATTCCCTTGTAAAGTAAGACCGTATTCAAACGCTTATATTTTTGCTACAAAATTTCAGTTTGACTTCAAACTTKGCATARCTGTTGGGAATTATATGCTGTTCTTGGCCTTGGATATAAAATATTCATTTCGATCTTAAAACAAAGGATTTTGTAGGTTTCTTGACTAGTCCAAAACGCATTTTGCCGTGATAATCCCCATACATTCTTACCAATTTTCGATCGCTCGTATTTCTGTTAAAAAGCATTATTTTCGCTCTAAATTTCGTAGTGATCCTTTAATTTAGATGTTCTCTTGAGAACAATAATAATATTCCGCTAATTTTGCCTCTAAATAGCATTTTTAGAATATCACGTGATCAGTGCAAACCGAGAGTACACAGAAATTAGCAGGGGGGAGGTGAGGTGGGAACTTGGAATAAGGTGACCTACCAGAGTAGTGGAGTGAAATTTTCACATATTTTTCCCGTCTAATATAGGTAGGGCTAGAAAACTTATTCCCAGTAACCACTTTTCAATTTTCACCTCCCCTCCCCCCTGCTTATTTCTGGCAAGTCCCTTATTTCGGTCTTTATTCCATTTCTCTTTTTCTTTCAAAAAAAACCTCGCCTGCCTGACGTTTCGTTCTGGGACTAAACGTTAGGCTGCCTGACATTTAGACACTGCGATCATTTATAGTAGAAGGATAATGCATAGTGTTTTGTTTTTAATGGCAATGTTTTTTGTTAGCACATGGAAAGCAATCAATCAACAGGATTTATATTTCACCGCCATGGTTCGCCAAAGGATATCGGATGATTCGACTCTACTCTCGTTTGGCTACACGGCTTTCAAAGGCAATAAACACAAATTCCACATTGACAATATAAACTGTGTGTTTTCCTATTTACATTGTATTCCTTCTTTCTAGCGAAAGACTCAAGGAATTATGGAGGACTTTTGATGTTRCATAACTAGTTAATTACGTTACCTCCCATTTCTTTGCAAGTTTTGCAGGTGTACGTATCTGTAAAGTAGTCAGGAAGACAACGGAGGCCTGGATTCTGTCTGCTGCATGGCATGGATAAACACTGCGTCTAAAACCAAGAAGAATATAAAAAATATATAACTCTGATATCTGATGAAAATAATAGTGGAAGCCAAATAGACCAGCTCCCAACAAGCCATTGTACGTCTTTTTACAATTTAACGTYGCTTTGTTATTTTTAAATAAAAACTTAAAAGTTAACTCGCCCACCTTTCTTGTAAAGTGTTGGTGGCCTGCACTGTCTTTGAAATCATCTGTCGAGTTTAACGTTGCGTTGAATAGGTCTGTATCAAGCATTTCACACAAATGAAGCCCATCAGAATTARCAMSYTTAGCAAAGTTGAAAGAGATGCATTTCTGATCTGCTGCACAATCARCCAGGCACTTTTTGTATGTTTTGRCTTGAAGKGTTTTGAAARATTGGACATTCAGATACTTGTCATGGATTTTGAAAAAGTTGGCAAATTGTAAATCACTTTGTAATGGTTTCTTGGTTGAGCTGTATTTGATAACCTTGGGGTTGTCGCAGTTGATTCCCTTCAGAAAACATGAAATCAAAAGTGCCTTAAAGCATACCACGATTTTCGTGGTTTTCATGAYACTGAACGAGAAAGTTCCTTATTGCAGCGTAACGAGAAAAACTTTTTTTGTTGTTTACTTTTTAGGCTCAATACTAGTGCTGGTTCATGAATCAAGTTTCGCTCATGAATTTTTAATGGTTGCTACAATAAAAGAATGAATTGTTAACTAGAGATAAATTTATCAAAAAGAAATTTTACATAAGCGTCAGACACAAATCACTACCTTAAAACTTCCTTTAAAAAGATAATTTTACTAGCTTATAATTTATGTGAGTACCAGTATTTAAACAAACCAAATTCGCATGTACATTCTGCATTATCTTTTCTGGTTTACAATATCAATCATGAATTATTAGGTGACATCAAAGAAGATATTATTCAAAGTAAAAACAATTACGTTCACACTGTGTAATAAACATCTGGAGTGAAAAATTGAGAAAAACTCATGAGGGGTGCTTTTAGTAATCAAGTTAGAGTTGATGTAATTCAAATAATGTCGCTGCAGTTTGTCGTATCTMGGTTACCATAGCTTTGCCTGTGATACAACTCAACTACTCGCCACTTGGACGAAAATTGCGAAACATTAGAAAACACTTGGAAAATCAAATAGAACTATCCATATGGGTCTAATAATCATGAAGCAACAGATTTCAAGAAGATATTGATACAAATCCTTAAGATTTAGGCACAAAATGTTGGAGTAGATGACGTCATTTACTCCATCATTTACTCCATCCTTTTGTTCTTCCATGTTTTGAATCAAAATTTCTCTGATTTTCTCTCTCCAAAACAAATGTTTTCCCGCAATTTTTTTTATAGATATAAATGAGTCATATATTTTTGTTGCTTGATGTTTTGAAATAAGGCCATTTTCATGCAAGTAGCACTACTTTGATTGTTGATATGGTGGAGATTAGCAGTAAACTTGTGTGAGCTGCGTCGCTGTTTCTAGAGAAACAGTTGTGCAAATAGATAAATTTAACACCGTAAAATATAGGTAAAATAACTTACTGACGTTTCGGACGTTACTCCTTCGTCGTTCCTCTTTATTCCCACGAAGGATTAACGTCCGAAACGTCAGTAATTTAAAGTTATTTCACTTACTTTTTTACTGCGTTAAATGTATCTTTTTACACAACTGTTTCTTTAGAAACATCGACGCAGCCATAGTCACTTCTCTAGTTTACCTCTAGTTTCCAACAAAGTCAATATCTTACTAATTTTATTATAAGTAAATTCAATACACCATTACTCTGGCTGAGAGATATTAGTGTGTGAATGTCCCCGAAGCCGCGAGGGAGGTTTAATTTTTAGTGAAAGTCCCTAGGCCGTCAAAATTTCATTTTACTAATTGCCCTTGCATGTGTGCTTTGTATGAGCTCTTAAAGCAGAATAACTCCCCTGATGTTTCCGCCGCTCATATGTGTAGGGAGACTCATTGAAAATGCATCAATCAATTTACTATATCCAGTCTCGACACTCTTTTTTTCTGGCGCGCACAAGAGGATCAAGGGAAGTCTGGATAAAAAGTAACATCATTTCTTTCTGATAGTTAGGATCTTCCCTTGATGCATCACGACACATAAAAGGGGCAAAACTAGAGACGATTGGGTACAAGTTTGCCCCATAATTTTACTTAAAGGTTGTTGCAGCAATGAAATTTCACCAGTAAAGTGACCAATTTTATTTGCAAACCAATATACTAGCATACATCAAGTATTTCGAAATATGAGAAACTTGGCAAGAGATTGAACAGCATGCATGCTTCCAATACTGAACTTGCTCTGTAMAAGATGCAAGTGGACTTAAGATTGATTGAGGCAGGATTCTGTTCTTCAGCATTGTATATTTGCTATGAATAGTCGACATTATGTGCGCTGTCACAATCTAGCATTCTGATTCATTACTATTAAACTATAGTCTTTTCCTGATTCTGCATCGAGGAAAGCACAAAAATGGCGTGGAAAGTATAGTAAAGGGTATCACTCAATTTTGTGGCTTATTATTGTATTTTGGAACCAGCCTCCTTTCTTCAGTCGTTGATGATTCGTGATTTAATAAACCAATAGCAAAATTTAGGCTTGAATTGATATCAGTGTAGTAACGTTGTATATTGGATTGGGACGGAATCAACGTTATATTGGGGATCGCGGGGATCACATTCGTCACTTTTTATGCTCAGGGCCATCAAATGTTTGGAATTGCATGGAGTAAATATGTTAGTGACCTTAGCAATCCAAGAACGATTTGGGATTGAGAAGGATTATTAGTAATCAAAATTATCGTTATTTTGGGGAGCAACGATGGTCTTTAGCCCCGGGATCGGGGATCGCCAAAAATATACCACGTTACTACACTGAAATGTCACTACACTGAAATGTCATGTGCAAGATGAATACAGCCGTATTACTGAAGAACTTGCAAACTTCATGGTGCAGCTGAAAAAAAATGGAAATTCGATAGAACATGAAAAAACAAATCTTATTTTATATATCACAGATTTCCAACACAAGTATAAGAATCTCGCACGCTGAATTTGTTCTAAGATATTCACACTGCGGCTCATTGCGCACGGTCAGTTGWTCGGCGAAAGGAAATTAAAGAATCACATTTTTTTATTTTAAACAGAGTTTGTTTTGAGCTGACTTTTTTTTCTTTATATTGATAACACTACTGACGACCCAAGAACTGCTCAAAATTCAAGTAAACTCTATGGGTTTATATATTTGGAACCCGTGGGAGGGGGGGGGGGGGGGGGGGGGGTGTACTACCTCCCCAACTTTGGAGGGGGTGTGCCGCACGTCTCTCAAAACCCTTACACTATCCCAGACCATTTTTTTCATACCCTACCCCAGACTAAAGGTACAAAGGTACATTATTTTAGAGCTGAAAGCGTGGCCTAGCAGATACRATCACAGGCAAAACTCCACCCTAGCCCAGGCAATGAGACTATACCCTATCCTAGACAAAAAAACTACCCTATCGCAGACAAAACTACTACCCTAACACAGACAAATGGTCAAAAAATGATACCCTATCCCAGACTTGGAGCTCCGAAAAGGAAGCCTATCCTGCGGCACATACCCGTATAGCAAATATAGGGGAGTACCCCCACTGGTTTGGAACTACGAATTTCACACATGCATTTTGGGGGTTATTTTGTGTTTAACAAACAAGTTATTATATGCTGATGCGTGTCGCTCATTTTGGGTCTATTTTCTATGAATTTGAGAAGCAATTTCARAAAGTCGTGATTGTCYTTGCGTCATGGTACTAGCCAGATTTCTAAACACTGGCGAAAACAATGAAATTTTAAAGAACGAGTCCTAACGTCGCGTTCTCATGTTTTCTCGTATTCGAAAACCCGATGAAAAATTCACATTCGTTTTCAAAATAAAGACCCCTTGCATGTGACGTCAAGCAGCTTCATAAAAGGTCAAAACAAAAGATTTTTGCCCTCTATCTCGGGAACAAAAATCCATCGATTTTTATCCTCCAGTTGGAGTTGTACTCCCATGAAGTCCAATGGGTCTATATTGCATGACATCTTAAAAAGCTTTAAAAACTTCAAATAAAAGGAATKTGAATGCGGTGTCAATCATTCATCATGCCTCTGATTTTACTGTCATAAGGACTGACTTACACAGCTTGAAAAATATGAGCGCCAATCTTTTTCCGTCACATCCATCATCGTAGACAAGCCTTCTGCCTTCTCCTGGGCTGCCACCATAAGAATGGACACACAAACCGCTGTTCACTTGCTCAAGAGAATGGCTTACACGTCTGAAATGCAATGTTTATCACAACATGAGCAGGGTTGTCGTTGGGCCAAATGCACGACGATGATGTAAGTTTGACAAATCCTACGCTTACAAATACAAAAATAAAATGTTTTGTCGAGATCTGTTAATAAAGATGATGCTAAAAAAGGTGAGAACACGATAGGTGAGGTCKTTTTAAAGATTCTTATTGATAGGCAATCTGGTCAATTATTTTGAATTAATTTGTTTGCGCGTCCTAACAGAATAATCAGTCGCCGCCAAAATTTTTGGACCATTRAAGTGGATATACGTATTGTAAGCAACACCTGCAGTCCTGCAGACTGGGCTTAAAAAATACAGAATATAAGCCATAAAGTGTCAATGGTTTTGTGAATCGCTTCACAATTGGTTATAAGGAGGAAGAAATATCGTAGAAAGATTGRCGAAAGGGAGATTCTTATATGTGAAGAAAGCTTAAAAAAAAAGCAGCGTACCTCCTCTTGTGMCTGGCGATTTTATCAGGGCAACTGTCAGTCAAGATAAGTCTTTGGTTCTTGGGAGGATATTTCGCACCTGCAGAAAGTTTATAATTTCAAAGATATAGTTTTTTATCAAAATAAGGTGACCATGGTGATGCAACCTTTCCGTTGTCAAAAAACACTTGTTTTCTCATCTTAACAAGCATTTTTGTAATTTTTATTTCGTGAAAAAAAATGCTTGTGGATTAGGTTCAATATATATGATCCGCAACTGGGTATAGCCGATTCAGTTTATGTCCTTTACTCAACTCTATTGTTAAATAAACTATTCTCCACTATACGTGGGTCGAGGCCTTTGAGGATCGAAGGCATAATTAATTACAGGTATGCTCGTCAAAAATCTGATTTACTTAATGAGTTTTCAAAAATATGTCGCCTTTTTTTCCTCACTGTTGCCTTTTTACCAAACCAATGCAATTAACATTGAACAAACTATTATTTTTACCCAGATCTTGCTCGCAAACAATCTTTCCACTACATTTATGATATATTCTTCCACTGGAATCGAAGAGAAATTTCATGTGCTCCGCTGAGCAGTCCCTGTCGACAGATTTCCACTCAAGACCATGATTCCAAGAGACCGTGTCTTGGATTGGGTTACAGTCGCCACTTTTTGGTTGCACACAGAAATATCCATAAGCCGTGTCCGCTCTTATGGGGCTCTCTAGGATATAATTAAATACGAATTKTTGWTTGATCCAAAAATGGAAATAGCTCGAGGCAACAAATGGTGGTACGAGATAATGTATATACTTCTGAAACCAGGRAACTTCCCTGTAAGTTACTTACA